AAGTTGAGAACAATTAAATACGAATACGAAGGCCGAATCTTACGTAATTCTGAGGATTAAGCGCCCAACGGTTGATCGCAATATTTTTTCGCTCGCGTTTAGAAAAGTTTGAGCATTAAAATTACTCACAGACGTAACTCACACTTTGCCTAACATAGAACCTCGTAACGTACAATAGTAGCAAGTTGCAATGTTGTTGATTTACATATTATCCCATTAACACGTAGTAGTTGCAATTTATTTTTCTTCTTTAATTTGTTCAGTGTATTACACTAAAGTTTATAAGCATGATTGCACACGTGATCCATACACACGAATACACGAGGAAATTCAGTTCTATTACTCTCCAAGAATAGAATCCATCTTTGATCAAAATTTATGCATCTACTTCACGTCTATCGTCGACTCTGCAATCAGCGATCAAAGGAGTTATCGTTTTCCACCGCTAAACGATATTTTACAGTTTATATTTTCGGTAATACACCAAGAATTCATTTTCCATCAAATTTTCCTTTTATATTTTTTTCGCTTTCCTTTTCGCCACCATATTACATTATAATGTTGGATCGAAAGGGAAAAGAAAAAAATGAAGAAAAAACGATACGTAATGGAAAGAAAATGAGAAATGAATAATGGAAAAAAATATTTGGTAATTTAATATCTATGTAATATTTTATGTTGAAAAAGAATAAACAGAGATACCCTCCAAGGGTATCCAAAAATCCATTTACGTGAAAAGAATAGTGCCAGAAATTGTGTAATGGGCAATTTGTTGAAACTACGAATTGCGAGTTTTGTTAAAAAAATCGATATCTTGTTTGAAAACAACTATTAACGATCGATAAATATTAAATGTCGACGAACGTCGTTCGTAGATTTTGAAATGCGATAACGCTTTAACGGCTGGTTACCCATTTTCCGCTCGGCAAAGTTGGTCAAAAGAATCGTTCGGTCGTGAGAATGAAGTTTTTCGAAAGAGAAATTAAAAAATAAAAAATTAATCCCCCACTGGCATCATTCTTTTTCGTTGCTCTATATACATATATATATGAGCGAATAGTATGAATGATTATCGAAAATATATTCTAGAAAATAACGGTGGAATCGTATTGTCTAAATACGTATAATTGATCGTTTTTTCTGACGGTTGTTGCAGCGACCGTACGAGTGACTCTACGTAGGCGGGCAGATGCTAATCCCCAATAGGCAAATCAAGTTAGGTACTATGCTACACTCATATTCGGCGAACGTCACCTCGTCGAGTGAACGGTGCTCTCTATTCTCCTTCTCGATGTCGTTCGATTGATCACACACGTCGGAACACTCAGGTGACCTGTTCCGCGCGACAGTTGTCCAACTACGCGAACAAAACATCTCGATTCCATTCGCAAAAATACTCACCCGCCATCGCGTTGCTCCATCGTTAATTATATAGCATGTAAGGCTATCGATTATAGTGGATACATTTTCTGACAATTAACAAATATATTAGAATGATAAAACGGTAGTGCCTGTTTAAATTCAAATCAAAATGTCTCAGCTAAATGACTTAACTGTCTCGTTACTCAATATCAAATATAGCAAAAGTAAAAAAAACGAAAAAAACATAATAAACGAACAAGCAAGATATCCAAAAGTTATATTTCTATAATTTTCATTTTATCTTTCAAAAAGTGATAAGATTCTCTTTATAAAAATGAGTTCAAATATGATATAAATTGTATGACTTTTGATTTGGAATAGTTTAATTGATTATTGGTTAAAAAAAAACTCATTCAATTTATATTGCATTTGGATTTATTTTTAATAGAATCTCATCAATTCATTAATATTCAAAAAGATTCTTAAAGAAAAAGTGTTGTTATCTCTTTGAAGCACAAAACTGTTCTATTATGTCTTTCTTACTTATTTTTATTATATATTGTCTTCTAAGAAGTTCTAGTTTCAAACTCAAACATATTTTGAAATAAAATCTTTATTTGCTTTGGAAGATAATAAAAAAGATAATAATAAGAATCTCTAGTATATTAGAAATGAGCACTACTGTTTCTATAAATTTATATCCCATAAATTTGTTTGATAAACATTTTTAATTTATTTATCAGAATATTAATCCGTCAAAAAATGTATCTTTAATAATCGCAGCCTAACTGACGACAGATGCGAAAATGAAACAGAAATTGACACATGAAAAAAACACAAAAATCAAAATATTGACGTGGTTTCAATTTAATCTTCGTCTCAACAAATATTATTGCTACTATCGATCATCGGTTCTATTGCGTTTGAAGATCGTCGCACATTTAATAACACAAAGCATTAATAACAATGACATATTCATATTCTTTACATGTATTTTAACTATTTGCAGTTATATATCTGTTATCAGTTACCCGAATAATTTTACAGTTTTCATCACATTTGTTCTTTATTATTAAAAGAAATATATTTTCGTCATCAATGTAAAAAAAAACCTTGGGATTGACTCGCATAATTTTTGATGATATGAAATTTTACATTTTTGTCGATATTTTGTCGCTAATATTCAATTGTATAGGCAGTTGTCAAAATTTAAAAGCAATTTTATTATTTACAACATTAATATAATTGTTTTAAAAATTTTTAATTTTTTTGTAATTTTATTCTTTGTTAATGAATTTTCATAATAATTATTTCATGACTATAATAATTGTAAATTAACTATTTTTCATACATATCAATGTAAATCAATTCTTTGCATTACAAAATGCTTTCAAAAATATAAAATAATGTAATATAAAATATGTATATCAATATAAAATCAAGTTCAATATTATTGTGTTAAATATATGTAAAGTTTAAAAAAAATAATATAATTTATTTATTATAGACAACATTGTTTAATAAACTTATTAAAAATCAATATCAATTGATATTCATCTACATTTAATGAAAACAATAAACAAAGAGTTAATTGAAATGCGTCTACTTAATAATAACGCCATCTAGGAATAGTACAGAAGAATGTTTATACTGTGGTGTGTCGTCAAATAAATATACTTCTATCAAAATACATATAATGTGAATATATTGATATTTGTCTATCTTATGAGTGTTTTGTGTTATTGTATGAGTAACGATTTTTATTCGTTATTCGCTTTTGCACGATTGGTATTATTATTTTGCTATTCTATTCGAAAATAGTTATCTTTACGATATAAAGATATGTGACAAAGAATAAATCGTATTATGATGTCGAAACGAATACTTATTAAAGCGAGGAGCAATTCGGATCAACAATACTTTGTTCGAGCATATGTACGATGATCGTTGTTATTACTGTTATCGCGTCTTTAAAAACGACAATTCCGTGCATCCATTGGAAAGACACTATCGGGAGAAAGTGTCTCGATAGATTGTGTACCATAACGCGAAGGAGCTAACCTTTGTTTGAGATGGCTGATATTTGTTGTGTTTTTAAGAGTTTAAATAACAACGTTTTATTACTTTTATTATATTGTTCTCAGCATGCTTTAATAATGCTACTATATTGTATTTAATAACTGTACACTGCATTACTCTTGGTTTAAGTTTACATATTCGACGCGTTGTGATTTAAACACTTAAAGTGATATATATATATATATATATAAATATATATATATATATATATTTATTTCGTTGTCGAGTGCAATA